TAAAATCGAACTGTCGTTGAAATATGTCGGAAACACTTCGAAATAATATTCGTTAGGATGATAACTGAAAGGTAGAGACACGATGACTCGATACCAGGTAACACACGTATCAGTCAGTTTGCTCGCAACGTCTACTCTCTCCTTATGGTTTGTATGAAAATCGGGAGGAGGGATGTTCGGTGGCCGCGCTCCCTACTCCATGGATATTCCCCACTATGAGTGGCAAACCACCCCCATCCCTTCGGTTTGAGATAATTCCGTTGTCATCGCTGTAACGCCCCTCTGTGAAAGGGCATCTGCAGACGTTTACGTCTAGTGGAAGAGACACTCTTTAATCGAACCTTATTATTCGTAATTGCACCGTGAAATCGCGACAGCCAACGGACCGTGATCGATGATGACGTCCTTCAAACATCACTCAGACAATTGCGAAACTTTCGATTCCTTTTAATGGGTATTTAACAAATTACGATGTATACACTTTGAATCAGTACACCTTATCTACCTATCGAATAAAGATCAAGTGTCGAACTGTTTTGTTAGTTATTCTCTGGGATAGAGAAACCTGGCAATCTCGATTGATTTTGTGATACATTTAACTATACATATCGTCTACAATGGCATAGGTAATTTCCGTGCTGGACTCCAGAATCGTAAATATTAATCTTCCAATGTCTTGAGCATTTACGGTCGACCGCACATTGAACAATCTACACTGGAATTCTTTTCTCATACGTCAATTGGAATCGTTCGACCCTTCCGAGGGGATTTACGAATCCTTATTGCGCGCTACTTAGTTTCTTTTTATTGTATTCTTTCATGCTCTCCGTGGAATTGAAATCTTCATTTAAATTCACGCATACGCTTCAACTCGAGAAAATTATTTTCCTTTGTACATAACAGATTGTAGGGGGGCTGAATCAAACGTTTTCTCTGTTTTTTCTTCGTTTTTTTTCTATGCTCTCTTTCAACGATGGCTTAAACTAAATAAAGTCATATCAGTTTTATGCTACAAATACCATTTTTGTAGATCTCGAAGTACTATTTAATTTGGAAAAGTCAAGGAAGAATTAAAATTCGCGTCTTGTATTATCGGAGACAAGGCTCTCGAAGAAAGAACGCCGTTGATGATGATGATGGCGCAAGGTCGCTCGTAGTCGAAGAAAGATTTCTTCTGCGTGAGATCCGCATAAGTGTTTGGCAAAATCTTGGCAACGAACGAATATTCTTCTAACGTTTAACACTAAACATACCTTGCGGGGTCAAATGACCTTTTTCAAAATCTTTATAGATTCGACATACAAGCGACACTTTCCCAAATGAATACTCTATACCTAAACGAAATAGGAATAGTTCTATACCGAGAGTCAGAGAGTAATGATCAGATGTCTATATTCCTTTTCTAATATTAAATTTCCTTTTTTAAGTTTAGAATTTCCTTCGAAAAATCAAGGTTTATTTCGTAAGGTGTCAAATGATCGCTTATGGCGAGAATAGCTATATGTAAAGTGCCAGTGCGTTTAATGTTAATAACAATGGACGAGTGAGAAGAATTCGTATCCCAACAGTTGTTTCCATAGCGATGAATTCCGACCTCATCTGCGTTGGGAGGATAATCTCGATTGTTTCATGTTTGCGTGAATATTACCTGGCATAATTGACTCACCGCGGAGGCGGTATAATGGTAGTCGAGCTGCGAACCAATGGGAGACGAGACAGAAATCAATGTAATTAGAGAAGGACCAACGGGGATTCGTCGAGGACGACGCGTGCGCGTGTCCAGCTCTCTACCTCAAGCTACCTCCTAATTCCTTTTATTGCGATCTCTATTGTCCGTATTACGGTTATTACGCATCCAGCGATTCGTTAGTTCTGATGACGGATGCAATTGTCGCTATTAATACGAGCCGCAGTTGATAAACACACGTCGATAGGGTCTCGAATCGAATACAAGTTTATCATTCGCCAGGAAACCGAAAGAGGATGATTGATTTGGTCGACGAAAAAAAAAAAAAATGGTCGCTTTTATTAATCCCCAATATTTGCGTGTGTCCTAATGTAATTAATCGTTGTAATTATCTAGGGAGAGGAGGAATACGGACCAGAGACGAAAGGATACTTGACTTTCTTTACAGATTTTGTATTTTATTTTTTCAGTATAAAAGTCATCCTCGATTCATCCCTAAAAACAAATCAGAATCATAGTCGTGGCTAAAGAGATAAAAAATGTGACTGCTATTTCAAAGTGTACGATTTTACATTTCATAGAAGAATATACAAGAAACTTAGGAATCCATATTGACATCAACGCTGACGTTCAATTGAATTAAACGTAAATAAAAATCGTCACTTTTGAGTCGTAAAATCCCCTGACGATTAGAAATTACCTAACGAGTGCAAAGGATTAGCAAGGTATATATAGCCATCTAGCTATCAACGGATCAAGCTGATCGTAACTATTATTTGTCCTACTAACGGTAATATGGTCAAGTGTATAACAGTTTCAACTTGTACCAATAGATGGCCTAACTAATTTCTGTTATCGAAAGTGTTTACCATGGCATGATGGTAAAGAAATTCAATATAACGCCTACGATTATCTGTTTTATCGATCTATATAGATATTGAAAATGACATCACTAGAACTTACAATAACTCAAGGGACAATTCCTAATTTTTAATAATGATAATATTACATTCTAATTGTAATCTATAAGATACAATCCAAGAAGAATACAAACTTCATTTTTAATATTGATTTCTGACAAATTCCAAATATTTCGTCGTCTCTCGTCATTTTTATCATTATTTGATTAGAAACATTGGGTATAAATAATATCATAACACGATGTTAGAAATATATTAGGGGTTCTGAAAAAAAAACAATGGTATGTGTAGAAAATGTATAAAGTTTATTACATTTCGTAAAAAAATAACTGAACATTAACGTTACACTGCTGAAAAATTAATTTGCATAATTAGTTACACATTCTTACCTATCAGAGATATAAATAATATTTATAACTGGAATCCTAGAAATAATAATTTACAATAAAATAGTAACTTTTTCGTAATATTATCAACATTACAACACTAAAAGTACTGTATAAAATGCATACTAGAGTTATATTTTATATAGATCAATTAAAGAAGTAAATCACTATATGCATTCTCTTCAGTCTTATGTTTGCTAAATTAATCTCTTTAAACATTGATTTCAATCGTGTATTAAACAAAGTCATTAGTTTCGTAAATGGTAAAATCTTAATAGTAAAATTTCCCTAGTTTTAAAGGGTTGAAGAAATTAATTGACTTACTTTAACTTACCTCCCATGGTGACTGACTGATAATGGCAGTTGTGACACAGAGCGCTCTGGGAGTACCAGCCCAAATGGTAAACCAGAAATTAATGAAAACGAAATAGCAATTAATACACAAGAAGTAAAATAAAAATAATTACTATCTTCTCATATATTTTATATGTAAGCCAAAATTGATCTTTATTATTATTTAATATGTTGCACATTTTTAATATGTACTTGGAAGCTGTAGAAATTATTAATAATGAAAGCATCACATGATATACTATCCGTTCCTGTCCTAGTATCACATAAAGTATAAACCAGAATATCCAACTTCACGAGACAGGACAAAATTGACCGATAGTATGTTAAAGATAATTATAGCTTCAACTTTTGCTTTAACCTTGTCTAAATTAAAAGAAATATTTGTTAAGTTAACAACAGAATTCAGGAGAAACATTATAAAACATTATATCATGCACACTCTGCCATTCATGGCCCTATATCTAAACAAATCAATCTAATATTCCTACCTGCGGTTGTACAACAGAGGCTAGCAAGAAGCCTAGCAAAGCCTAGCTCGCTGCGTAGTTCAGAATCCTTTTGCTCTGCTACCTGCCCGTTTTTAGTTTCTTCCTTCATTTTCCACTTTTACTAGTAACTTTCAACACCGAATATCTGCCAGATTAATCTAGCTAGGCTACTCTTGGATGTCGATTGTGTATTCTCACAAAAGAAGACTCTACCTGTCTAATTAATTGTTACTTTTTAACTTTACTACCTAACAATCGCGCTAAACTTACTATAAGAAAATAAAATTTTACGAATTAGTCTATTATCTTGAAAAGTAACGGTGTGATGAGCTAAAATAAACTTGTGTGAAAATTAAAAAAATCAATTTTAAACAAGATATACGCACAACAAAATATTAATGAATGTATGATTAATAAATTATTTATTATTATTTTGTAGAACACCGATTAATTGTTTTACCTTTCAAAAGTGGATTTAATTAAGAGGGATACGAAGAAAAACTAAATAATGAATAGTTTCATCCATCGAGAAATATATATCGTCTCTATTTTCGCAAATAATAAGGGTGTCATATACACTATTAAAGATTTAATGTTATTCGATTTATTTCTCATTGACCACGATTTCGAAATAATATTACTTTTACAAAAAGCAATCCTTAAACATAAAATTATTTCCGTTTCGTATGTTCTGTCATCGTTATTAGAAAAGATTACTAACGAAAGTTCGTATTTTTACAAATATATTGCATTTCCGATACTTTTCGGATATGTAATTTACAATGGACATATAAAGTGTATCCAATTGAACGTATCCCTTCATTCATAAATCCATATACCTTAAACCTTACATATTATTAGAACTATACAAAATTGGTCACAGGTTTTCATTATGTACAAATTATTTAATACTGTGAATACATATAAATATGAAGCCCTTAATAGTGCTTTCATCGACTACACAGTTGGCAGAGGATACAAATATGTTGTTCTATTATACATAGTATTTGAGACTTGTCAATAATGTCCTTATATATCAATTAGATGTGCCCTTATCGATCTAGACAACTATGCTTCCCTATTCTTTTACCTCATCGACGGTTCTTGTACCTCACACTTAATCGATACTACTGAAATTTGTATATATAAATTAAAGAGTGACATGGAAAAGGTTCTGGTCATTTTTATTAGCTAACTCTTTGAACATTACAACTTAAAAAATAAAAATTAGTTAATCTAGGTAACCTACAAAAATGCTAACTGATATTCGTGCTATCTGATTTCTTTTCTTTTTTTAAATTCATTGATTCATTTCATATTGACACTTTTTCATGCGTTTCTTGTGTTATCCTGAGATTTTTGGTCTACATAAGAATCACCTTTCATAATATGAAATAAAAGTCTGCATCAACGTAGTAAAACCTAGATTCTTACATGGACCGCTAATTCAATACATTTTACTAAATTAGAGAAACAATCGTGCTCTCCAACGTCTATTGCATAATCCTATGTCTGTAATCATTTTTGGAGATGATATAGAAGCGAATGTAGCAAAGTATTACATACTTCAATATTTGGATGGCACGCATGTATCCCTAGACACAGCAATCGAATGATCAAATTAATGAGTCTCTTTCTTGTTTTCTAACGGTGACGCCAGTTAAATGTTAATAATTATTTACTTTTTGTTGTCGGATATCATATGTGCTACACGATATGTGCAAGCACAGTCTAGAAGATTGTGATGCAATATTTTTACATAAATGGTAGAGTATGTAAAATATATATGGTAGGTGCTAGATACCAAAAGAAATACAAGCAAAGCCTCCCTCACTGTGATCTAAGAGATGACGCTTCTCTGTCCTGTATCCTGATTGTCCTGCCTGGTCTTGTCTCTAGCCTTATAGCCCTGCCTGCTCCAATACTAAACAGTACAGAAGTACTGGCGACTAGAAGACAAGTAGAAGGTTCACCTGAGGTTCAAAAGTCATAAATCTATTAGTTCAGATGATTGGAAATACTCAAACTGTAAAAATCTATAAATTTTTGGCTAAGTATCATACACTATATAATACTCCCAAATTTCCGAACTATTTGTCCGTTCTCTATCTATCTACGAAATTCCATTCAATCTCTCTTCATTTACGTGGTTCTCTTGCAGGTTTAATAAGTACATAGTAAATGTATAATTGAAAACATTTTTTTTAGAAATATTCGTTAAAGGTAACTGAAAAATATGTATCACAGTTGCTCCACACCAGAATGAATAACATTCTAGGTTTCAATCGTAATTCGTCGAACATTTTTACGTAAAAAACAATCGGAATTAAAACTTGCCAACTCTGCCAATACACCTGGCTCCATGGATTTATGCTAGAGGGTCTTAAGTCAGAGAGACACGAAGGTTGTTCTCAACTGTGATGGCCTAATTAGAAGAATATCCTAAAATCCTAATCCAACTAATCTAATTCGTTTACAATTTAAAATCTTAAGTGTCGTTAATTAATTACTTAAAAATATCAAGAAAATTTAACTAAATAGAGACATACCAACACTATGATAAGTCAAACTTTAGATTCGCTGACACGCTCCTCTAACTTGAAGCCCTCTAACAAATCTAGGATGAAACGCAACAACCTCGCGCCAATAATAGACGATAAACACTAACGGTGGCCAATTTGATAACATCAAATGAAACCATAATAGAAAGCTCGCGGCCCTTTCTGATTTTAGGCTTTCTAATTCGTACCGTTTGAGGGGCACATGGATCATTTCGCAATACCTCTACTCCTTCCTTGGCAACCTTATAGTTACCACGCGGATGAAACGGTAGAGTTAAAATATTTCCCAATATTAATTTGCCATTGCTAATGCAATTGAATGCGCCATCCACGTAAAAACTAGAAGTTTTCCAACAAAAAAGGAATATGTGTTTGACGTGTCACGTTCTCGTCAAACAGAACGAATTAATGCTGCCTGATGTATACAAAAAATATACGTTTTACTAATAGCAATACTAAAAGCTACTAATTCTTTTTTCTAACACCTTTCCTCTGTTGTACCACTTCTAGATAACTCCACTTGAGACAGAAATGTTTTTATAGTGTAAAATAAATTTTCGCGTAATCCTCGTTCGTATAACCGAATAATGGTGATCCACATGACATACGTAATATTATAGTTTGTGTATACGATAAAAATGTACATCATTTTAATAGTCCCAGATGAAGTAGGAAGAATTATAATAAAATTATGCTTACCAAGTGAGGGAGTGTCCATGAGTAAAGTGCTTTAGTATCTTCTTCCACCGCCACCGCCTCCTCCCCCCATGTTTCCACCCCCAATTGAACTACCGCCGTAGCCACCTTGATTACCATAACCACCGCCACCGCCTCCACCAGAATTGCCACCACCCATTGGGCCTAGAAATATAAACAAAAATTATGAAATTAGTAAAACGTAACAGTAAGATATTAAATAATTGCGTACTGATAATATAATATTCGTGATCGTAACTGTACTAAGAAAATGTGAAACTTTTGTTATGGAAGTCTTTTGCTTGTTGCTCTATAAAAAAAAAGCGAATGGCACAGATACTTATGCTTATAATAAAGAAATTACAATAGAATAGAAAAATGGACAAAGGCGCTTCTTCTTTCTGCAACATCGCGCCATATGCCTTGACTCTATGTTAACACTCGCTATAATGATGTAAGTAGAACTTAACCATATCATACTGCATAACTACTTGTATAAACACATTATTTATCCCACCTCCTGTGATAAAATATCTATACTCTGCACAGCATTATAAAACCAGTTGCATATTAAACGGTAATATTTAAGATGAACGCTCCTTGCGCAACTCCGTAAAATTATTACCCATAATAATCTTATAGATGGTACATATCACAATGCAATCAACATTGTATTATAAAAAGTAATACAATTTTAAGGTAGTTGCTCAAGGTGCGCAATAAACGCGTTGGCTTTTGAGAAGGACAGAAGCAACCTTGTCCACCAAAGGGTGATTGCCATCTCGAATCTCCAGATTGTCGGCCACTAGGACCCATATTAATACCATAGGGAGCAGGTCTTCCTCCAGAGTTGAAGTTATTCCGAACTGGACCACCGCCATAGCCTTGTTGATAACCTCCTCCGAAGTTATCGTTACTCCAGTTTCCGCCGCTGTTATATCCGCCCTGACCTCCTTGACCACCCCATCCACCTCCTTGAAAATGTTTATTGAAGCGTGTTCAAAATTTTGTCTAATACAACGCGTAATATTTAGGAAGGCTGGAAAAGTTTATTTTTCTGCGAACCTTTACCTTGATTCTGATTCTCCCACGGGCCGTTACCTCCCCAACCTCCTTGATTACCTCCACCATAACCACCCTGATTACCACCGTTATTCCAATCTCCACCGCCGCCACTTCCTCGTCCTCCCCAGTTACCACCACCTCCTTGATTACCACCACGAGGTCCTCTTCCCACGTTTTGCCCTCCTCTGCTACTGCCACCACCGCTACCACCGCCACCAGACGCGGAGGCCATCTCCGCTCTACTTAAAGCCTGTAATAAACGTATAAAATAATTTAGTAAGTTTATAACATAATAATACCTTTCTTTTTACGTATAATTTTTTATTTACCTTTTTCACGTCGACATGTTTGCCGCGTATTTGATGATTACGTTGCAGGCAAATTTTATCGACGGGATCGTAATCGTCGAATTCGACGAAACCGAAGCCGCGCTTTTTCCCAGTTTCTTTGTCCGTGACGATACTGATTGAATTTATGCTACCGTAACTCTGAAAATATTGCCTAAGGTCCTCTTCTTCGTGGTCATCTTTTAGACCACCAACGAATAATTTTTTTACTGTTGCACCAGCTTCTGGTCTACCAATTTCTTGCCTAGGCACAGCTCTCTTAGGTTCAACTACGCGTCCATCTACTCTATGAGGCCTGTAATTATGTATATAAGAATGACTTGTTATTAATTTAAATCAAGGAATAAATTTAAGTTTACTTTATGTATACAAACCTGGCACTCTGAGCATCATCCACCATGTGAGCACGTGAGTAGGTAATGAAACCAAATCCTCTGGACCGTTTGGTTTTTGGATCTTTCATTACAACTACATCCACAATTTCCCCCCATTTTTCGAAATGTTTTTTTAAAGAGTCGTCTGTAGTTCTGTAGTCCAAACCACCGATAAATAATTTCCTAACATGTTCGGGTTCATTTTTGCCATCCTGCAACACCAAAATATTTCATGGAAGGAAAATGCAGTTTCTTACAATAGTATAGAATACAATACAATAGTATTGTACAACAATAGTATAGAAAACAATTTCTTAAAATAGTAAAAGATATATTAAACGTTAAAATTAATATAATATGAAGTTTACGTATTAAGATAACATGAACACGTTACACGATCGTAAATATACAAATCTATGAAAGTTTGATTTATGTCGTAAAATCACTGTTAAATGTATATATTAAATATATTGTATCCATAAAATGTTTGAACAGAAGTTTTCGAAACTGTTCATAAATGGCGTAGCGTCAGGGTACGCCACGCCATAACCGAACAGTACTTGCTAGACGTGTAACAAGTATATCGTTTACTTAAAAGTATTTAATACATAACCTTTAAAAAAGTATATCTCAATTTTAGGGAATATCAGATTTCGAAACGTACTTTTTCCGATATATTAACATCGAGGCAAAACAAATTGACGCGTCATTCCTCAAAATAGAAAGATGATGTCGACCATAAATAAATTGTAAATAATAAAACTTGAACGAATTTATAAATAATATAAATTCTGATGATAAATGAAATTACCTTTAACTAGACATGGACGTTGAAATGATACGTACATATATATATATATATATATATATACAAAAGAAAAATGAACATCGATTCAGAATGCATACCAACGTTCTTATTTTCTACTCATTCTTTAAGTACAAAAAATATATACGCATATTAATGTAATTATTTACTTACATCATGTTCCATTTTAACCATTTCGGATAATTTCGGAATGGAGTACCTTTCACTACACCAAACAGGAAGAACCTCACTACGTGATGCGAGAAATGGATACGCGCACGTCGTACAATCGATTACTGCTCCTTTCAAACACTTATGTAAACCCCAGATGCGCAGTACGATACGAATAATACAAGCATGCGCACAGCTTACACTTCTATTATTTTAACATTTCTTTAGGGATTCTTTCAATTATTTGTAATAACTATCATTTAAAAAAATGTTTTATACGAAATTGTACGTCTTTTAACGTATTCCAGTTGTTCATAATAGAAAAAAAACTTTTATCAGTAACATCGAGTACTTACTCGTAACTATTTTAAATAGTACACAACATGGTTAAATAAACTATTTAATAATCTTCAATTAATTAAACTGTTTGATATATGAATTTTAATTACTAACAAGAACAATATACGTTCGTAATTATGTTTTCTTTTAACGCAATGTATATATAATAAATATCAATAATACAGCGCCGGAAATGCGAATCGTGGATAAACAGAACTAAATATGAATAACTAAATAAAATTCATGTATACCAATATTTATTGTTTATATCTCCATTTATAAGTAAATTAATATGCAATGTTTATAATGAAATATAAGACATGCATTCAATAAAGTTATATTTTCTGTATTTTAAGTTTCGAGTACAAAAGCTACTCGATAGAAAATTTGTTACTGAATAACACTTTATGTAAAATATTTAATATCAAAACATTACATTATTCGAAGAAATCTTAAACTTACAATACGAAGTAAATTGATATAAAAATTATAGTTTGTTGTAAAAATAACAGTTGTTAGTAATTAAATTATAAATCGAAGATACAACTTTGCTAATCGTTAATGTTAACAGTAGTCTGTTATATCTATTGCAATAATTGTGAAGATGAACTAACAAATTTCACTTCAATTTAATTTTCAAGGAGTCGAAATATACTGCAGTCACTTCGACGTTATACCCTTAATTTCCTATAACGAAGTATTTAATACAGACTTAACCTTCATCTTATTCGGTTTGATATCGACGAAAACCAAATGAAGTGCAAAATTCAGTCAAAATATTTATTACATAAATATAAATCATTGTTAAATATATTAGGTACTACAAATATAAATTAATACCGACTAAATAGTTTTCTGTACGAACTTCAGAAAATATATATAATGGGTGCCCCTAAACATTTGAATGAACAAGATGCCAGTATAATCATAGCTCTAAATTTACATAATTTTGTGTATGTATACATTTTTTTATACCTGATGCTACAGTTTTATATGATTATTTGTGACACATTGTGAATTTGTATATATATATTGATGTTTACTAGGTAACTAATGTACAAAATATAAGTCCGCAACACAGAATATAAGTTTAATAATATTACAATGAATAAAACAAAAGCTGTTGATTGTGAGAATAAGATATATGGATTCAAAAGAGAATTAGAACCTGAGAAAATTATTGGAGTAACAGATTCTAGCGGAGAGCTGATGTTTTTAATGAAATGGTTAGTATTGTTTTACTATCGGCATAGTTGGAGATACTTAAATTATTTTTATTATGTTTTGTTGACAGGAAAGGAATAGAAGAGACAGATTTAGTTACTGCAAAAGAGGCAAATTTACTTTGTCCACAAATAGTTATACAATTTTATCAGGACAGACTATCATGGCATGTCACAAAGCAAAATTCAAAGTAAAGAAGGCCATTTATAATTTTAATATAAATAAAATTAATTCATTAGTTACTAAGATTTACTTTTAAATGTACGACTCTGAAGCAGAAGTATGCAAATATTTTATATTTCATTGATATAGTGTTTTTAAAACAATTATACTTCAATCTTATGTATATGTATCTTTCCAAATATGTTCAGAGTGATCCCTTGTATGAAACCTAAAATTTTTTATATATAATATTAATTAATACATTTTCTCTCTAATGTTGTTATTTTTTAAATACACCCAGTATATTCCTTTTACTAGCTTTATTTTTCTGACCCATACTTCAAAATAATACAATGGTGCACAAATTAATATTATGATGTAATTGCAATGTCTTTTTATTGTATACATATCAGTATTTTTCTCCTCGTTTGAATGTTTAGAATCTTTTGGCAGTGAATTGTTTTTTCAATGGTTGTTTCAACTACCATAACTAAATTATTGTTATTAATTTTTTATTGTAAACTTCGTATAGTTGATGAGTGTTTCGTATAAAAACTATCCAGTGAAAACGAAAATTCATGCGATTCGTCGATTTAATAACAAAGTATGTTTACTTGATGAATTGCACAACTATAAAATCCATTATGTATATTGTATTCGAATTTCGATTAATATTTATAACCTAATTACATACTTCTTATGAGATTATCTTCTACATATTTATTGTCATTTTCAATATTCAGTCTGATATCTTTTTTATTATGAATTTGTTTTTTCCTCATTGTGGCATTGAACAGTCGTTTGTAAACTTGAATCTGACTCTGAAAATGAATTTTCATCGAGAATTGTTTTATATCCAACATTTTTTATATTAGGATTTGTACGTGACGTTTCGTTTCTGTGATCGGAATATGATTTATCTGTACAATTTAAGCAATTTCGGAAAAAGTAATTATGATTCGATACGTTTTGAGGATACAACTTTTCTTCGATCCGTCTATTTATTACTACAGCCTCGGCGAGAGGTATCGGTTCTGTATATGTGAATGTCTTTTTCCTAGTATCAGTCTTATCTTCTGGTTTTTTAATACTAATTGGTCCATTAATAACAGGAACTGCATTACTTACTTCGCTTGTAGTTCTTATGACAGGTGTAATATTACCCATTGAATCTAATCTAGAATTGATTTGATCGCTAGAACTTACATAAACCATTGATACTTTAGTTGAACTTTTTGGTAACAAGTTAGAAGTCATTTTGTGTGCTTTTTTTGGTTTTTGTTTCTGTTTCAAATTGACTTGCTTGGTTTTTTCTAAACTAGTACTTCTATTAGATACAGTATCCTGTACATTATTGATATTACAAAATGGATTATCTGGATGATGATGTCTAATATGACGATGTAGATTATCTTTTCTCCTAAATACAGTTTGGCAATATTCACAAGAAAATGGTTTTTCCTCTAAAATAAAATTTATGTATTATTATTTTTACATATTATTAATAATACATGTTACTAATGTGACATACCTGAATGTACAGTTAAGTGTCGTCGTAATTCACTTTTCGATAAAAAAACTCGATTACAATGTGCACACGAAAATGGACGATCTTTTCCGTGTGTTTTTTTATGGCGTATTAACAAAGATTTATCCTTAAAACTTTTACTACATTGATCGCATACGTGTGGTCTTTCATCTGTTAAAAAATTATTTTTGGGTCTTTATTCGTCAAGAAACATAATTTTAGATTATGATTACCCTTATATACATATACTTACTTGTATGTGTTTTTAGGTGTCTTTTTAAATTGGTTAATATTCCAAATGTTTTTTCACATGCCTTACAAGAATACTTTTTTATACCATTATGTGCATCCAAGTGATTTTTCAAATCATCTCGTTTGCTATATCTTTTATTGCATTTAGTACATACAAATTGTTTTTCTTCTAAAAATTATATTTAACTTTTACTTCTATCAATATTTCTCAAAGCATTATATCCATAATAAATTTGTGGCTTAAAAAAAAATTGTACTATGTCATGGAAACTTACTATTATGCGAGTACATGTGCCTATTGAGTTTATTTCTTTGAGGAAATGCTTTCTCACAAAGGTTACACTTAAATGGTTTATACCCCCTGTGAACCCTTTCATGATATTCAAAATGAGAGCGTTTAATAAAAGTTCTATCACAAAAGGAACACTTATAAGGTTTAACACCTGTTAAGCAAGCATCATGATAGCATTTTCCTTTTTTGTTTCTAAAAATTTTACTGCAAATATTACATTTATATTTTTCTGGTGTTCCAGGTATTATTGAAATATGTGTACGGTTGGAAGATTTTATAGATTTGTCTTTTATTAATTTTTCATTACTTGAAAACTCTGTCTTAATTTCCTATAAAACAATTATGATATAATATTTTGGTTTTTCCCTATACATTATGTATAAATTTCCACACATACCAAATCACAAATTTCTTGTGTTTTACTATAAGATGATGGTTCTATTGCAGAATTATCATTTGAATGTGCATACTCATGTAAAGGTAGATCATTATTTTCTACCTTGGAAATATATAACTTATTAGAACTATCATCATTTTTAACATCATTGAAATTATATGCTTCTTTTCTCTTATTAGATGAGTTTTCATCATATAACTCAGAGTTGTTTATACAATCATTAGGAACAAGTTCAGAATTAGTAGTTTTGGATTTAGAATGTTTATTAATAACTAGTTCTAAGGGTAATACTATTTCATCGTTATATTCACTATTTCTATCAAAGGCAGAAATATTATTTGCAGTGCCTTTTGTTGATTGTATGCAATCTGCAAATGAAATACAAATAAATAGTACTTCATCTGTATACCTTTATTTGGTATTGTAAGATTTGAGAGTAATTCTGATATTAATTATTTGTGATTAAATTTTGAATACTCTACTTTGTTTACATGAGGGAATGCATTTATGACAAACTTATTGGAAATTATATTTAGGAATAAAAGCAAATATAATTAATATTATATATACGAAATATTTTTGTTTCCTACCATAATTCCCAATATTTTGTATATAATGTTCATTACTACAAATTTTGCATCCTTGTTCCTCATATAATAAACATATACGACATTTGGTATGACCACAACTGTCCTTTACAAGCCTCGAACATGATGTATTTGTTATTTGTTTACAACTCGGGCATTCCCCGTTCATCATAGATTTGTAATTATAAATTCGTAATTCTCCATTTATTACTTAATAATTATATTCTTGTCCCATGATTGTATTCATCTCGAGAAACGATATTTCCTTCGTACTTCTAATATTACACTACTTCGACGCGTATGTTTAGTTATGTCTGCTTCATGTTAATTACAAATATAATTATATTTTATTTCATTAATTCCTCACAGCCATATGTATTTAATAAGTTTATGCGAACGTAATCAATTGTAATAAATATTCACTAGCACAATCTACCGTTAAGAATGGGAATTATTCTTTACAATTTGTTACAAACGATATAAATATAAATTTTTGATAAAATTTACTAAATATTACGTATCATAAATTTCATACAATTTGTTCTTTTATCTTCTAAAAAATTGATATTTTTATTTATTTTTAAGAGGGACGGGGACGGGGGAGGGGTTTAGTACTAGTGGCTTCATCAGTGGCAAAACGCCCAAGTTTGTAGCGAAACTAGTTTGGACTGTCAACACTAGATGGCACCATTTGTTTGTTGTACAAATATATATATATTTTTAATTATATCTAAAAACAAATTAGTGGACAAGCATCGTGATATTAAAATATGAACGAAAATAAGTTTTCAACTCTTAATTCCGTCATTTTAGTATTAAACAAACAAATGGCTTCATCTAGCATTAGAAAGGGGAACTATTCGAGGACAAACTTGGGAGAATTTTAGTTCTACCTTCTCACCGCGAGATGGCTATAGCGTCACTTGCCACGTTTTTGACCATTGGCGGGATGTGACACTTAGAATAAATAATTAAAAAGGGTAATTAAAGGAGTAAAAAAAGATGATTATATTAGATAGAATCGAGATCAAAGAGACAAGTCACAGAACTTAAAATGCAAAGCAAATACGAGACTGCCCTCAAACAGATAAATTAAGTAGCTTTTCTACCTTGAAGGTTTCTGATGTTTCATTTTTTATTCTGGGCATGATATCGATGTATTATACATAAAATCATATGCTTCCTTATCAAATTTTCAAGTGCACGTTCGATAACTCGATAAGGGGTGAAAGATTGAAACACTTAGTAGGAGGGTTATTTTTCATTGGATACGATTTCCTGCTTGGTTACCAGAGATTCTTATTCTTGGAATATTGCATTTGCAGTTGTCGAACAGCATATATTTCGTAACAATGTTCTCACGTTTCGATGCCTATTGTTCTCAAGATGTTCGAGGGATTGAATATGCCGCAAGCTCCGTTGAAGCTTTCTCAATAATTAGATCGTGACATTTTAGTCGATATTCGTTATTTTAATATAAAAACATGACGACGTTTCATTGCTGTTATACTTGAAAGCCTCGGTCTATACACACCATTTACGAATGAAGAGATCATCTCATTGGCAAAAAATAATACAAGTATTAATCAAATACGAAACTTATCAAGTTGAAAAACCCTAGTGTTAAAGTTAAACTATTGGAACAGTGGTACCGTTTTGACAGTCGATCGAAGAAACACGTCGTTCCATGTGCCCCGAAACCTAATGAATCGATCGTCACATAGCAATGCGTGCACCAGCCCCATAATCATACCACATGGAAAAGGACACAAAGAAACAGCGAGTAAGAGGAGCAAGGAAATTATTCTTTGAGAGTATCGGCAAGATAATACGCACTTTGATATGAAATCGTTTGAGAATGGCAAAGGGCAGGTAGTCGAGAGCACGGTCTCGCGGTAAGGGTGGTCGGGGAAAATAGGGTTGGGCACGGGGTGCGAATTGCGCATGCGTTGACCCGGCCGGGGGCTGTCGTGTCGCTCTCTGCCGACTATTACGCCAGTCGTCGTGACGACCTCGAATCGTCGGTGTCGCGGGGTGTTTTCAATCATTGTATCCCTAACCTTTCGTCTGTTAACCGTTCTCTCTCTCCTCACCATTGTTTTTCTTACCATCAACAACGTTACCTCGCCGTCGTGACCGTGTGCAATGTCGAAGTGGGGCGTCTCGAATCGCGGCCGATTTCGCGTCGCGATCGACAGTGTCCGTTGTTCCTAAATAAAGCAGGATCGTTGTGCCGTTGTGTCCAAGATCGAGATCTCGATAGGGACTCGCGTTGAATCGCCGCGACAGTGTAGGCGCGTTCGTGTTGCGCAGTAACGGATAATTATCCGTTTAGGGAAGATCTAAACAGGTGTGTGCCAGCCGTTGCTGAAGCTACCTCGGACAAATGCGGGAGATTTAAAGGTAAACGCGAATAAATTATCACGTTTTATTCTGTGCCAATCTCTCAACGGTTTCACTGGTGTCACATGGCGTAACTTTAAACGAAATTTTGGGTTCAACGAGGGAGGTTGCTGCTTAACACTTCAACTAACCTCACCCTGTTTAGAAAGAGTTTACTTAGGCTGATATCATACTAGACTAATATTCTTTACTGTATCGGAGTTAAAAAGCCACCTTAAAGAAATGCTTGAATTTATTTATACACGGTCAATTAAATTCGCTGATTTATCGGGTCGAGGCTCTCATATATTACGCTCGCGATTTGCGAAATCGTATGAAATTTTGTTTTGCTTGTTCTTGCAAACGTAAGCAAAACAATTTGCCTTGGCGATTGTGCACGTGCGATTACGTTATCGTCGTAGGAGTAACGAGTGGTACCACAGGTACCGGTTTCGCTGTCACTTGTTTCGAGAGGCTACGCTAGGGTGACTGAACGGTGTCAATGGTAACGCATTGTATCGATTCTAAGGGCTCGTTTAAATAAGACAATTTTACGATGTTTGTTATTTTCATGAAACTGATATTACGAAATTAACATCCCGCAAATTTATAATTTCATGCTACTCGATTATTCGATCATTCGCTATGATTAGAACGAGCTGCTAACACGTTGACTGCCAGGCGAATTTTCTTGAAAATTTCTGGAAAGATTCGCACTTGAAATTTAAGATTATTTTTTTTTTTAATTCTCGAGTGAAAAATAGCGTCACTTATATATGGGTTAATAAAATTTCTATCCAACGCATCGTTTCTTTTCAAGACGAAACGAATACTTAACGCGTAGATGTGAAACGATGTTGGAACGTACCTGCTTAGAACTTGCAACCAACGCGTAGCTTCATGCACCTCGTCGTCGACAATAGGGTCCGTTAATATTAGGGTGCACGTAGGCTTGGAAAATGTTGCTCCTCCGCTCCCGTGCGGCATGAAGCGTGTACTCATTCGTTCTATTTCGAGGATATTGATCGGCTTTCATGCCATATGAGAATATAAGGTTTCGAGGGAAAGTTAAATCGCTGCCTTACGCTCGACCTTAATATCTTCAACCGTGATCACCGTAAACTTTCTCAGGAATCTGCGTTCTCATCTCGCTGGCTCGTGCTTCACCGGGCGCAATCAGGTTCACGTACTTTCCAGCCACGATTGGAGTTAGTTTTTCCCAGGTGGACCTTCTGTTACACCGAGAACGCTACTCCGCCTCTACCAGATAAATAACGATAAACCCAACGAATAAAAAGTCTTTTCGTTACGCGAATGATAGAGGTAAAAGAAATGAGCAGAGGCAAACATCGCTGCTCCGTCCCCTTTTTGTACGATTCATCGGGTCCATTCACCGAGTATCGAAACAACGTGTACACCGATGCGCGCATTCGAAAGCACGCGATATTCCGAATTCGCCTAACGCCGTATCCCTAGTCCGTTTTCTATGCTCGTTCGCATTCGGTAAACAAAAGGAAGCCACGGAATGCGGCGCATTTTTCCCGCGCCGAAGATGATCTATTCGCGGTTCAATTGGAACACAAAAGGCACGTTTACGGACAATACCCATCGTCGAGCCACCGAATGGCTTCCCTCTTTTGATACGCGACTCGCGACTAAGTACTTAAACTCACTGTCACTGATATCTTTCTCCTACCGACAATGGGCACCCTCTCTGTAGCTTAAATTACGACGTTGCGAACGGATAGGCCGAATAAATGTTCATCCCCCTTTCGCACGCTCTGCTAAAAGAAAATGTCGAGAACCATCGAGTAATGGATGAGCTATTGGCGCGAGTGAAACAGGAGATGCGACGGATTTCCATGGAAATCGTTGCTGGTAGCCTGGAAAATTGGATTTCTACCCCGTTTGTTGTTTATTGTTAATCCGAGCAGTGTAGGGAATTCAGGAATAAACTTCAAGTATAAAGGAGCTTCGAGATACATACTGGATTCGAGTATTGAGTCAAATATCTACGTTGTACGTAGTTTATAACTGGACCGTGGATTTCATGCATTCGCGACGTATAATATTTATATGAAAAACATCCATGAAATATACGTAACGTTCGTCGAATATATTCTACAATCGATAGAATACAATACATGTTTCATTTTTCATAAATGCACTCACCTTTTTATTGTATTAACTATATATTCACTATATCAATTTACACGAAGACGAGCCCTCTTTTATTATCCTCTGAAAGTAAAACGATCGAGAGTTACTCTCCCCATTAGATCGCGCGATGTGCTCCATTGTACCGTAAATTACTCGAAGAATACCAGACAACAATAATCGCGGGTACACATGTTTTCACTCGGTGTGTTTTCGTCAACGTTCCGTCGAACAACGCCAAGTATTTACGCTAACTCCAATCCGACATTGATATCTCCCGTTGCTAACAATGGTGGCCCTCGAAGCGGTTTGAATTACAGCATCGCAACCGGTTGGAGTGGATAAATGGTACCTGATCCCACTCGGCTTGGCACGTGATGCAAAGTAGGGTCAAGGAGCCGAGTATCTAGACAAAACTGAGCCTCGCGGAGTTGATAGTGCAACGACCTTCTACGAGCAACGAATCCAAGAAACCGCGCTCAAGTCCACTTTCATGGTTGGAGAGGAACAATTGAAATACGCTAGGACGGTTCTGTTAGACGCGATTTAAGTCGTCCACGTTCTACTCCTTTCGAATAATTTTTGTTGCTCTGTTGACCATCCAGCCTCCACGTTCAATTAAAATTGTCTCTGACCAAATTTTTGATTAACAAATCTTTGATCGCGGTGTCTCAGAGCGTAAGGGTCTGAATGCAATGTTTCTTATTTTTTATTCAGACAGACAAGTTCCGGACGAGGTCGATGGACAGTGTAGTTGTGTGTCGCAGTGTCTTATTTCGCGGTTGCGAACCACTTGGCTGCATGCCGCGATCAGCTGAAGTAGTCGACGTGCCGTCTGCCCCGCGGACTCGTGATTAGGTGAGTAATTTCAACGACATCGTTTGTTTACCGCTCGTTACGACGAATATAATCGTTTGCATTTGGGGATTTCGTACATCGAGACACCTTGGAGATACGAGCACGCGATCGTTATGAAAATAAGAGTTTGAAACGTGATATTGCCGGAAGACCTTTCATGTCAAGTCGTATAGGTAATACTAGCCTGCGGTCTCACCGCAAAAGTGCAGAAAAATTACGAGCCAAACGCTGATTAGTCCTTGCAACGTTTTCACCAATCCAATTTAATTTTCCTATGAACGCACGAAGGTCCGCAGTCTAATTGTGTCAATAATGTCGTTCGAAACGCATCGAATAAAATTGCAGTGAGCGTCACTGGACGCAGGTAGACATTTTCGATGATTATAGGGATCGTGCATCATCCGAATGGGTCCAGTAACATTCTTCTCGGAACTGTGTTGGTCCCGAAGGGTAGAACGACAACCTATAAAGTAGAGAAGGTTCTCCGTAAATGCGCATCGTATCTGGCACGGATAAAAACGATCGTAAGCGAAGCAAGTCGCTTTCTATTTCCTCGAGACGCCACAAAGAATACGCGAAATTTGTGGTTCTCCTTCGACGGCGGAGATCCTCGAAGATTCCTCGAGTCCTTTACGAGTCGGCTCCGCGGGGTATTAGAACGATAATATCCTCCATAAAGTGCGTTTCCGTGGAGAGAAATGGTAACCCCGACGTAAACTTACAACGACAAGTCACGCAATATTTGCTCTGTCCTGGAACTTTCTTTTCTTCTCATCCCTCATTTTTCTTGCGCTACATCTTATCGACATAACTCTGCCCTTACACGAGGCGTTGAGAAGGTATCCTGGTCCAAGGAAAGTCTGATCAATTCTCAACTATTTTTTTTTTTTTAATTTTATTATTTGTAGAGTCTTTCGAAGAAAGCGTGCATTGAGAAAATGTCCCCAAAAAAGTCTAAACTAGGATATCCCCTTCAGTCATTAATGTTTTTCCAATCGATGGACACTTTCTCGTTGTCTCGTAATTCCACTCGTGCGTTTCGAGTGCTCGTAAACTTTCGATTAAGTGTTTGCAAACTTCGTATAGCGACAAGGATGTAGTTAAATCCGTGTCGTAGCCTTCATTCTTAGCTCTTACGATCAGTTCTAGCATTGTTCTCGCAGAGGAAAGATTTTCAACGGTGAATTTTCTATATAAACGAAAATATGTGAAAGGAGTCGAGGTCCCTCGTTTCTTGAAGCTGACACAAACACTTCATACACGACACATCCGGATCTTAGTCGCAATTTAACGAATGGCGTCATTCATTCGTTCGCGAGTAGGGGAATCATACGGGCTCGTTGTTTCGTCTCCTTCTTCCTCGTTCCAGTACTCTTCCCCCTTTTTTCCCTCTTGCTCTCATCCGATGGTCTCACATTATGCAGCGGGAGGCGATATGCCACTGTTTAATATGTGGGCCATTTCAGTTCGTGGATCTTCCACGCGTGGATCGCGGTACGTTCAAGACGAACCTTTGAAATCTTTTCCGCTAAACGTTGATTATGGTCGCGTTGAAACGTGCCAGGCTGCGAGTGTTCCTCTGGTGCAGGTGGTTACTTTACTACCTTTACTCGAACGTGCTCAGTTTTGGTGAGTGGTTGCCTCCTATTGCTCCGACAGTAATCCCTAACATTTAACCTTCTTTGCCCACAACAATTTTAAACGATTGCCACTCCTCTTGTGAGCTATTCTCCAAATCGAGTTCACATGCTGTATCATTACAGACATTAAAATTATTTAAACCATAGCGCAGAGGTTCTTGGTATTTCGTTGCTTGAATGTGCGCGTTAATATTGGTGGTCCCAACACACGAATCGTGATCATTCAAGTGGACAGTTACGATAGAGCGATACGAAAATCCAATTACATCGGTGAAGTGTATGTTAACACCAAGAATTAGTACCGCTCGTGGCAAATCCGACCTGTCAGCAACACATTGTGTGAATTGTCGGCAATGAAAGGTTTCCGGCACAGGGCAGCGCGTTCGAAGAGGAAGAATTTTTCACGGTTTCGCGTCACATCTCTTCGAGTTTGCCCCATAGTCTCTCTTACCCAGACATTTGCTTATCTTTTGCTTACTACGGGTAATATAACGCGATAATATAGAAAACATCAAATATTATAATATTATTATCGTGCACAAGCGCTCGTACCTTTTGGTTACGTTCCCCGCACGTTTGTTACATTAATTTATATCGTAAACGCATAAAATACGCCGTCAGTTATTACTCTGTTATAGCGGCGTGCAACTATCCCAAAACAAATATTATTCATTCTCTTGGATCCGTTCCATTATATTTGACATGGAACAAAGCAGCGACGAGTGATTTCATTATCGCCCGGAATTTAACGGGTTACCGCAAAACGACCGTCCATTTATTACCACGTTGTACCTACACGGCGATGACCGCTAAGGTGATTTTCAACAAAATTGCACCGTGTATTTGCGTACATACGATCGCATTGGAATGGGAAATTAACGTCGTAAAAGTAACAAATGCACCGGTAACCCCCCGGATCGTGTGACTATTCTAGTTTCCATAAAGAACGTGTATTTGTTCGTTATTTGTTCCACGTTTGTTTTAGAGTCATTTGGAGACCAAGGTGGAATTTACCAAATTAACCTCTTCAGGGACATCTTGTATACATTTAGCTTTTTTTAGTGTGAAAGTGAGAACGCGAATCAAGTAAATTATGAATCCGTATGAACGTTAAAGACTCGGGAATCCCCACAAATCCAGTGATAGCAACGAACTTTAATTCGATGAAACACCCTCCCCCCCCTCCCCCCCGCCTGAATCGAATTTATTCGATTAAAATTATTCTTCTTGTTAATATACTTCTCTAAATTTCCCCGTATTTCTCATTAAAGAGTTCTCCAAAGCTGGTTCCTAATTACGGTAACGTCGAATCGAGAGTTCCTTTGTTCCTTAATCCACATTCACGTAAACTCGGTTCATTTTGCGGTCGCACCCCTTAAAATGCGCGTCGGAAATAACCACCCCTCGCTTTGGCAACTTCGAATTGTTTCCAATTGTTTTCCCCATCGTTGTTAACGTATCCTGGCGTTTCGCGCGGGTGCTAATCGTGCGTTAAGCGGGCTTATAATCAGGAGCGCATCCGTCCGTGATTCCCGTTGTATCGCGAGCATCGCCGCTGCTGTTTCCAGCTCGAAATTTCGGGAACGGGTCAATTAATCGCTGACCGTGAAACGAAATCTTCGCTCGGAACAACCTATGTATTCACCGCTAATTAGTCCAGTCGTTCAGATTCGACCGTGGACGGCCATTTATCGAGGTGATCGTTCCGATAGATTATGTTACTTTTGGAAAGTTGCAAATGGTAGGGAATGTTAGCCTATCGGGAAAGGGCAAGTCAAACAAATTAAAGTACATCGGCCCAGTAATAGTAATAACAATCTGAAATTTCTAAAAATGATATATCAAAATTATATACAATTGTTTCATGCATTATTCAATTGTAGTAGTGGTAGAAGTAGTTACAGGTGAACGTTGGTAGGTTTAGGGTTAATATTTTGAGTAGAAAGAAGTAGTGGATGCAACGGAGGGTTAACGAGCGCAGAAGATTTCTCCTTTTTTTGCGGAGAATCTCTGTGAGTCATCCTGAAAAGTGAGGCTGGTATCCCCGTTGGGTTGCGGTCGAAAATCACGGGTGTCATTGTGAGCTGTAGTTAGACGACGGACCATGTAATTGACCAACCCCCGACTCGTGGCACGGCGAGGCCAATCAACCTCCATTGATTCACTTTGGACTCGTCTCTCGTGCCAACAATCCTTCGAAAGTTACCCCCGGATAGTCCCGAGCAATCTTCCTCGTCACGAAGCGACGTGTTTACCGAGTGGCTGGGGAAAATATTTTCTCGTCACGCGGGGGGCGGGGGGGGGGGGGGGGGGGGGGGGGGGGGGGCCTAAATCGTGTTCTCGACTGTCCTCGGCCTGGTTCGTTCACCAATATCGGGACTAGCTCTCACGTTGAACGACCCTTCGAAAGTAAGCTGGAAAATCGAGAGCACTCTTCAGCCATTCGTGGCTATCCAATTAACGATTCGAAGCAATGATTCCGGCGAAAAACGCAGCTTTTTCGAGAGAAGAGAACGGCCTGAAACTGGCCAAAAAAGAGTTCATTAGGGACGAAGGGAAAACTTGCTTCGACGGTTTTTATTTTTCAGGGGTTTTCTATGAGTGACGTCGGTTTTTCGAATTTTTAGAAATACAGATGATAATTGGACGTAAGATAACCTACATTCTGGTTAAATATATCGATAAGATAGAGCTGTCTTCCCGCCTTCGATATCTCCTCCAACGTAGAAGTCGATATTGAAACGAAATTGAGACGGAACACCTTGGGGAACGATTTCAAGCGGCCGATTACAGTAGTAAATTTTAAAGTCAGCTGGAACAGTAAGTAGAGAGGGACGAGGGGCGTGATAAATCCGACGAATTGCAGAACTTTTCCGATAGAGTAGCGCTGATAATAGAACGGAGGAAAGTTGGAGGGGAATCGTAACGGCGCGCTGGAATAAAAGCCTTCTTCGGACCCGCGAAGTAAGTCTCTTTAATTGCTCGTCTGATGTTCAAAAGTTTGGGACGCCCTTCCATCTTCAATGTTTTTTTACACTCGTACAAACCGAAAATATTTTTATTTTTCTATGGTACTGTTTAAGTATATCTCGAGATACGAATTACAATTGCAGAGTTAATAGATATTCTGTTGAAAAGAGTACCTCTGAAACGATTAATAGTAGAACTTGGGTCGATTAGTTGCAAAGCGATGGGTTTTCGAGTAAGAACGATTCGCAGAAGGAATAGCATTTTTCCTGAAATTTCCAGCGATATTGCCGCGGGGTAGATGTCGTGAAAATTTATTTTGGTGGCATGCAGCTGCGTCAGCCGGCGTTAGACCGGAAGATTCCTCCACGTTACCCTGCATTTCGCATCCAC